CGCTTCCCCAGAGAGAATGAAAGCGATGTGGCTGGCTTTCTCAGATAGGAGCCATGCCATGAGCAGTGACTCTATGCTCAGATGGAAAATAAATCGAAAATAAGATTTCTATTCAATTTTCCCCCATGATATTAAAAAACACTAATAAATAGATGAGACTGGCAGGTGATGTCAGAGAGGAAGGTCAGCAGCAGAAATGGTGTTCTTCCTTTTGACCTCGCTGCTGTTGGCTAGTTGCAGAGGACAGAATAAAGAGGATGGAAATGAGATGATAAGAGAGCTGATGCCCTCTTGCCATGCTACTTTGCTTTGGCAGACTTCCCAGAATGAGAGGAAGATGGTGGATGCCTTTCATCTCGTCTTTATTTGAAAAGACTCTTTATCTGAAACACAGCACCCATAATGATTACCCTGGAGCTTGGCCTTCAGCAGGGGCCCACTTCACAACTTCCGGGCATAGAACCCCTCTGCATTTTCACATGGAGCAGTGGTGCATTTTGGTGGAAACTGTAAGCTGGTTGTTCTCTTAATTCAGCTGTTTCAGCATCTGGCAAGAGAACAGCTATAGTTAGGAATTTCAGTAAAGCTATGGCTAGTGATGGTAGAACTTTCTGGCTAGAAAGGATGCTAGCTGCTAGAACAGGTTGCTCAGTGGGGGGATCTCCTTTTCCGTGATGGGTAACAATAGCATAATTTTTGTCAGTCAGGAATTTGAGGTTCAAGTATTGTTTTGTGCAGAGGCAGGGGACATACTGAATGACCTTGTTCTTTTCATTCTGGAAGTCCAACAGAAAATGTTCTTGAGGCAATTTATTCTGGGATTTTTTTTTCATTTTTGTCTCTTAATTTGCACTTCTAATTCTCAGTGTCTAATGTGCTAACGGGCTTTCCTCCCATTAAAAAACATGTGTGGATGTGAGAATGTTCTCCTCGAGAAAAGGCAGTCTCTAGGGTTTTGCTTCTGGCTTGAGGTCCGATGAGGTAGGTGTTATGAAACCTTCCCCGCAGCAGGCTGGGTGCCAGCGAACCTCTGTGGGGTTAGCAACTCTCCTGCTAATTTTGGCAGGAGAGGGAGACACTCAGTCATTTCGAGAGGGAAGAAGGTAAATGTTGCGACCTATTTGCAAATCAAGATAGAATGAGTTTTTGGACCTGGGCGTGTGTTCAGAGCCTGCCTATTCTTGTCTACTATCAAACCTGCTAAGACAGAAGTGATTCAGGTTTATTGTTCTCCTCCAGATAGCTTTTCTTCCCTTCCTGGATGCTAGAGGGGACAGCTCAGAGGGTATATCAAGAAGGAAGAAAGGCAAAGAGCCAGACAGGGATGGTGCCGAGTGCATGTCCAATTTTATGCAGGGCTATGGGTGATCAACATCAACTTGGTAGCCCTGGGTTAGGATTTTGAGAAGGGAACAGGAGGATGAGGACAAGAGGAGAATGGTTGATACCCAACAGCTGGTGCCTCACAATTTAAGCAGGGGCTGTCCTAGGTGCCACAGAAGCAAGGAGTTTATAGGACACAACATTCAAGTACAGAATGCAGGACGACTGAGGAGGGCGATGCTCTTTGGGTCATCAAAGTAAGGGGGGATTGGATCAGAACTTTCCAAGACACCTGGCATCTTTCATAGTCCACACTCTGTGATTCTGTGACTTCCCTCTGTAGCAGGGTGGCTTTTATACAATTATCAAAGAAAAGATAGGCCTTTTAAAAAAGTTTTTTTTTGGTTTGTTTGTGGCCTGAGAATGAAATTACATAGCCCAAGTCCATTTGTGAAAACTCATCAGCATGCATGCTTCCTCAAGCTGTGTTGACTTCATGGCCTAAGTGAACATTTCATTTTCCTTTAGAAAATCAAATTGGCGTAGCCGAATGAGCAGAAAATTATCTTTGACTAGTAGATGTTATTTCTACATCATTCTTCCTTGCCTAAGAAAATACTGACTCTGAGACTGAAGCTTGGCAGTTAAGAGTAAGAGACTACATCTGCCAGTTGCTTTCATGGTCCCTGGGTCTGTTTTAGGTGTTTTACATGCACTAGTTCATTTAATCCCCGATGCGCTCTGTGAGGTGAGTTGGTACTAAGCCCCCACTTAACAGAGGAGGAAATTGAGGATTAAAGAGATTAAGTAACAGGTCAGGGCTAGGACTGGACTGTGGGGTCCAACCAGCAAACTCAGAACTCCCCTCTGAATCAGCATTCTTTCCCACCCTCTAACCCTCCCAGAGGGTTAGTTAGGTGACCTGCTTGAGTTGCACTTCTCATGCTTGGGTGAATTTAAGGGCACGGCAATGTGGAAGCAAGAGTGAATGGGAGCCATCATTCCCACCAAGTGTAAAATGAATCAATGAGATATGTGACACCAGCAACCAAGTCACTCATTTTCTGAAGACTGCTGTTAGGAATTAGAAGCTTAGCAGGATCCCGAGGTTTGTAATTGTCTGTGGATATCACAACAACAAAAGCTAACAGTGATAACTGACTGTCAGACATTGTTCTAAGTCTTTTGCATGCATTAATTTGTTTAAACCTAACAGCATTCCCATGAGATAGATACTGTTATTTTCCTCATGTTCCAGATGAGGAAACCAGAAACATAGAAAGTGTCAGAGTTGGAAAGGGCGTTAATGCTTTTTAACCATTATTCTAAACTGCTTCTTAGCACTAGGCTTTGGCAAACCTGAAATATTTGCTTCTGTGATACAAGCAGGACTCCCATGATGGGAGTGGGACGAGGCCAAGTAGAACCAGATGCTGAGCTGTGTCTTTTGTGAATGTTTGTGCATTTGAACCAGTGATGCAGAAAATCAATCATGGGTCTCTTCTGATGGGATTTCCTTCTAGCGATGGGGCAGGTAGTACCCTGCACAAGAACCTCACGGTGGTCATCTGTGGGACACCCAATTCACTTCTGCTTTGTTGGTATTTCATCATTGACACTTTTTCCAGAAATAAGAAGGCTTGGATTTTTTTTGCACTTTTTATACAGAGTTTCTTTGTAAACTTCTCAGTGTTTCAAGATCATGTTTACTCATTTCATGTCCAAAGAATGTTATAATGGGTTTAGATGCGGGTATTAGAATATACCAAAGGGTGCTATATGCTAGCTAAGAGGCAAACTAAACTAAAGTGAAGAAATGCCTGCTGAATACAGTCCAAGTTCCTCAGGATGGCCTCCAGGTTCTCTGTGACCTGACCCTCCTTACCTCTCTAGCACCATCTCTCGACATGATCTCGTCTCTCCTGCTCCCAGCCTCGCAAAACATTTGCAGTTCCTAAAATACATCAGGCTGTCAGATAATGCCGAGTCTATGCCTTTGCTCATACCTCTCTACCTGCAGTGTTTCTCGAACCTCCCACCCTGCAAAACAACTCTTCATTTTCAAAACTCTGTTCAACTTTTGCCAGTGCTGTCAAGTCCGCCCTTCCCCAACCTATAATACTGTCCACTTTAAAAAACAATATTCTGGCCGGGTGTGGTGACTCAGCTTGTAATCCCAGCACTTTAGGAGGCTGAGGTGAGAGGAATGCCTGAGCCCAGGGATTTGAGACCAGCCTGATCAACCTGGTGAGACATTGTCTCTACAATAAATCACAAAAATTTGCTGGGTGTGGTGGCGTGTGTCTGTAGTTCCAGCTACTTGGAAGGCTGAGGCAGAAGGATCGCCTAAGCCCAACAGGTTGAGGCTGTGGTGACCGTGAACGTGTCACTGTACTCCAGCCTAGGCAACAGAGTGAGACTCTAACTCAAAAAAAAAAAAAAA